CAGTGATACTTGGTTTGGCCTGAAGTTCAGTTTCCTCCTTTTTCACATATTTTTAATTACAGAAACAAATGCCTCCTTGAAATTCTTAATATGCAGCATGCCTGTCCATTTCAGAGTAAACCATATACACTAGACAAAACAAACACTTAACTATGTTTCAGAGTGGGAATTAAGTTGCTTTATTAGGGTGTCCTAGCATTTTTCCCCCAAATCTTAGCATGCAGTCAGTACAGATGTTGTGCAAATTCCCCAAATTTTGTTATTGAATTAATCCTGGTTCCATTCACAAATAATATGAATGTTAATCCAGGCAAAATAAGAGAGTGGGCCTGTATAGAACTGCAACTTGTATCCCACTCTGCAAACAAGCATAGCAAACCAACTCCCACGTCTGACTTATTCAAGACAAAGCTGATAGCAGGTGTTCTATGGAAGACCCTGGCAGGTTTTTCCAATTGCTCAACTTTGCTTTAGAGAAGGCGGGAGGGGGAATGCCCCCTCTCCACCCAGCAAAGTTGTTCTACCGGCTCTTGCACCTGCTTGTACTACATGCAAATCCAAGAGGCCTGCTGCCTCATGTCAAGAATGAGTTACATCTCCCCTGCCTTTCCTAAAAGCATGCAGACAAAAATGTGACAACAGCCAGCAACCTTCATTGAAGTCAGCAGATAAGAGTAGTTAATTAAAGGGCTTCCAGAGCACAAGAAACTGGAGTTCACTTCAGCTGACAGAGGAGCTTTTGCTCAGAGCAAGAAGCCACATGGGATTCCCCACCACCACCACCACCTACTGAGCCCCAACACAAAACCATACCTGCCAACTCCAGATTGTCCAAAGGAGACACTGACAATAAAGCATTCATCATGCACGACGCCCTGGCTGGAGTCCCCTCCAACGCAGCACATGCTTCTTTGTCCCCTATTTTTATAGACAGCCAGGAGGAAAATGTGTGATGAGTGTTACCAGCTGTTTTGCTGACCCTGATCCTGTATGTTTGGCAGCAATGTTTCATACAGACGTAAGGCAGGCACATTTTTTCCATCAGACCGTAGAAAACTTCATTTGTCTTGAGATTGACATTAAAAGACAGAATGGCTTGATTGGAAACTCAGCAAACAAGAAGCCACCTAGTTATGACTAAGTCCCACCATAAGCATGACTTTGGATCAGTGGTGGTATTCTACTGGTTCAGCCCGGTTCGGCTGAGCCAGTAGCACCGATGAGCAGCAGAGACCGAGCCGGTTCTTTTGGATACTCTGCGGTTGGGTCCACCCGCCCGCCTGGGCTCCTCTATACTAACTATACTCCTCCTTTCATACTAACCTTTATTCCTTGCTTTTGAAGCGCAGCAGCTACTGAAGTGACAGGGAGAGTGCAGGATTGCAGGAGGTGAGTCAGAAAGCCTCTGCACCTGTGTAAAGTGTGCATTTGGCGCACGTGCAAAGCATACCCACCAAGCCATGCCCACCGAACTGGTGGTAAAAATATTTGAAACTCATCACTGCTTTGGATAAATTATGACTGAGTTTGCAAAGTTTAGAAAGCCTTCACTTGGGCAGAGAGTGAGGAGGGGGAAAAGTCCCTCAAAAAAGACTAATGATGCAGCATTTTTGTAGCGTCTTTAAGATGTTCAAAATCTGTTATGCAGAGTAGAGATGGGGAACACCCTTTGGGGGTTGCTGAATTATAATTGCCAGTGATAATTACTCTGGAGTATCCATCTGTTCTCCTTTATGTAAGACAATCAGAAGAGCCCTTCAGTCCAGATCTGAGATCAAAATCAAGAAGTATAGAAAGGGGGACCTAGATTCTTGAAGCTGATTTGAAACCCACAGACTAAGCAAGCTCACAAGCCACTGGGCAATCCCAGTTTAAATGACAAGATAACTGTTTAAATGGCAGGAACAATTCCCATATTTCTATCAATTCATACACATTAACAGATTGGTGGTAAATTTTGCAGATTGGCATCTTGCTTGGGGTGGGGGTGTACTGGTGGTGAGTTTTCACATCCAATACAACTGCCACTGTCAAGTCTTTTATGATATGCTTCCATAGTTCCTGTGATATAATCTTGACTGAATTTATAATTTACTTCGTGGTTAGAAGTGAGATTTAATTTTTATATAAACAATGAGTAGGATATGGGTTCCCAGAAAGTCTCTGAACTTTTTAGTAGGAAGAAGCATTGTTTTTCATAAATCTGGAATGAATTTGCATAACTTATTTCAAAAGAAACCCTGCAGTCTTCCCTGGAGAACAGGAAAGGCATTCAACAGAAAAAAAGATCTGGGCTGAAATAGTGAGAAACTTCCTCAGCCCCACCTGTTCCCAGTCCCATTACACCACAGATGTACATCCCACATTAGAAGACAATTCGTTTCCCAACTCATTTGTTTCGATGAGCCAAGTTTTTTCCCCAAAACATTCCTGTAACAGTTCTCTGTTTAATTCTGACATGACTCCCACTTCCACCCCTTGTAATTTTACTCCAGATTTATTAAGGAGAATCTGGGCTGCAAAAAAATCAGACAATCACTAGAGGACAATAAAGGGGTAGAACTATAGAAACATTTTAAGTTGTGCTGCTCTCTGTTGGTAGTGCATAGTTCTGTTGCTGACAAAATCTTCCTAGCTTATGTAGGAATTGGCTACAGCATCTACGGGTAGTCTTTGACTTACAATTGTCCATTTAGTGACTGTTCAAAGTTACAACAGGATTGCAAAAAGTGAGTTATGATTGTTTTTCACACTTAGGACTGTTTTACCACTCCCATGGTCACGTGATCAAAATTCAGAAGCTTGGCAACTGACTCATAGTTATGACTCATATTTATGATTTACAAATCATTATATAAATATTGTAATGATTTATTTATTGCAGGGTCCTGGGGTCATGCAACCTTCAGACAAGCCAGATTCATTTAACAACCGTGTTACTAATTTAACAACTTCGGTGATTTACTTAACAACTGTGGCAAGAAAAGTTGTAAAATGGGGCAAAAAGCACTCAACAACAGAAATGTTGGGCTCATTTGTGGTCATAAGTCGAGGACTACCTGTGCCACATCTCTTTTCCTTCAATGGCTGGTTACTGCTCTGTACAACCATTTCATCCTGGAGTATGAAGGCTCAAAGGTTTTTTTTAATCCAGCAGTTAGTTCTACGATTGTCCTTAAATTCAATGAACTTTCCCAGGCTTATGTTTTCTTGCCTAAAAACTCAGTGCTCCACAAACCCTAACCAGATGGGGTGAAACAGGGGTGGGATTCTACCAGTTTGCACCTATTAGAACCAGTTGTTAACATTCTAAGCAGTTTGGAGAACTGGTTGTTAGAAGAAATTACTGGCCTAATTCTGTAAGGAAGGCAGGAAGGAAACATTCTGGTGTTGCTTACAGAAACTGCCTCTCCGTTAACCCTTATTTACATTCTTGGAAGGACTAGATTTCCTGTCTCAGGAACGTCTCTGGGGTTTTTTTTCCTCCTTTGCTGGTACTTTGCTTGTGTGGAGTGACCATTCAATGTTACAATGGCACTGAAAAAAGTGACTTATGACCATTTTTCACCCTTATGACTGTTGCAGCATCCCCACAGTCTTGAAAAGCCAGGCGAGGAGATGCGTGTCTCGATGTGAGTGATATTGAGTTGGCCACACCCAGCCAATAACATGACCACCAAGCCATGTCCCCCCAGTCACATGACCACCAGCTAAGCCACACCCATGACCTAAGCCACGCCCACAGGACTGGTTGTTAAAAATTTGAATCCCACCCTGGAGTGAAGCATGTTCCCTTGATTTCACACCTTTGTCCCTATTGCTGCAAAGCTTCCCCCCCCCCCTTTTTTTTTCCTTCCTAGCATTTTTCTTACAAGTGCAGGTCTTTTTTTATCAGATCAACCAAGTATTGATCGATTGACTGAAACAGGAATTGACTGAGCGGCTTGTCACCAGACCCTGATGTTTTGGGCTGAAAGTGAGGGACTGGCTCAAAGGCACCCAACCAGTTTTCATGCCTAAGGCAGGGCTAGAACTCCATCTCCTGATTTCTAGCTGAATGGTCACTATCTGGTGGTCTGTGGACCTCTGGTGGTCCGCAGAAAAAATATTTGCATTTTTTATATTGCACTAAATCAAGGGTCCTCAAACTACAGCCCCTAGGCCAGATACATGCAGTGAATGTTTGTGTTGCTGCAGAGAGTCTCCCCCTTCAGGGTCTTTTTGTGGTTGGGTTGGAGGAGGTCAGAAATTCCGACTTGGAGTCTGCTTCAGGCTCCTGGTGTGGAGCTTTGGGCGAAGGCTGGAGGAAAGTACAGCTGGTGGCAAAGAGCCAGAGAGCCTTGTTCCAGTGGGATTGCATCATGGCCTGGAACTGGCTGACCATCTCAGCCTGCTGAGCCTCCACATGCCACTATCTGGCCTTGCGCTCCCGCAGGTCTTCCCTCTGCTTGGAAAGCCTATGCTTGTAGTCCTCAGTGAGGTGCTTCTGCTGAGCCTCCTTCTCAGTCAAATCCAATTTGAACTGAGTCGGCTGTTTTAAAAACTCTTTCTTGTGGTGGCTGCTTAGCTCCAGCAACTGCTTCCTGTTGGGGGCTGTTGGAAGAAATATCCTTCTGGGTTCAGTTCCAAGTGGGGAAAAGGACACTGGAAACATGGAGGCTGTTTGGTGGGTTTAATGGTGGACAGGACCACATGGCTTAGAGCTCCAAAGTGAAAAGGATGATCGCATGCTCCAAGGTGAAAATAGAAGATCAAGAAGAAGGACCAAGATGCTGAGAGACCCTTATATAACCACTGTTGGGCCCCACCTCAGTGTTTCCTGTTCCTGTGTAAGAAATGTATCCCATTGGCTGTCAGACTCCCAGGGGTGAGGGGTCTTAGCTAACTTTGTCTGGACCACATGGGATCACCTGAGTGTTGGCTGATACAATCTTCCCAGACCAGGTGGTGAGATAGGTGGACCCTTTATTATGTAGAATACTCTGGCCTAGGCCTTAATGGCAAAGGGAGGGGGGTGAGTTTCTGCTTCTCTGAGTTTCTACTTTACTCTTTTTAGGGGAAATATTCTGCTTTTTTAATATTTCTCAGGATATTTCATTGTTCTAGGAGAGAGGTGGGAGCTAACTTCCTACAGGGCCTAGGAGCCTGGGCAGAAAGGCGAGGAGTGGCTGGGAGGGGCGGGGTTGGCGAGGCGCCCGATGTGAGTGACATCATTTTGGCCATGCCCACCCAGTCACATAACCACCTAGCCACGCCCACCCAACAGGTCATTAGGCGTCATCTTAGTGATTCATGGGATTTAAAATTATGAATTTAGTGGTCCCTGAGGTCCAAAAGGTTGGTGACCCTTGATCTAGCTGGTTCCTTAACCATTACTAAAATAGCTCTCAACTGCAAAACTTAGCTAAGCTTGTGTTCCCCTAAAACTTTCAGTTGCAACATATGCATGTTGGAATAAAGCTATGAAGTTTCAATGACAGCTGCTTCTATGAAGCTAAACCATCTGTTTTTCCTTCCTACAAAGTTTCTACGGGCCTAGAAGGGAAGATGGAAAGGAAGGACCAACCTGTTTCCTTTGCTTTGATCACTGGGGCATCAGAGCAACAAAGGTACTAAAAGGGAGAAAAAGAACCATTTGCATCGGTGCGAAAAGAGAGTATATGGGAAGGGTGTGTGTAAAGGCATCCATGTGTGCAAACATCTGAGAAAGCAAAGGTGAAGAATGGGGACAAGTGAGGCATTGGTAGACCGGCCCACAACAAGGCTTACTTCCTTGCACAGAGGGGAAGGGGAAGAGGAGGAGATGACCAATCAAGGCAACTGTGGCCATAGTCAAGACTGAGCATCAGCCAATTTTATTGGCAAACTACTGCCATCTAGACCGGAATGGTTAAAGGTGGCTTCAGGAAGTGCTAGGAGTAGCATAAGAAAGAGGCAACTTAGGCCCTTTCCATGAAGGATTGCCTTTGGATGATAGTGCAGTACCTGCTGTCCCAAGTGATCTGAAGTCATCGTTTAAAATACACACACCCAAATTGTATTATAGCTATATCTTTGGAAGGACTTAGACTCGACCCCGCTCCCCAAAGTTTTGGGTCTCAAAGGAAGTGTTGAAAATCTCTATTTAAACATCTAACCTCTTCATTCTTAATTTTAAGGGAGGAGAATGTTTCATTTTGTGTTGCTTTCTGGGATTTTTCTTCTTCAGTTTTTACCCAGTTTATGTTACATCATTTTGAAGACAGGCTACTACACAACATACAACAAAACAGAGAAGAACTAGGTAAATGTTTTCTTAGCTGATGAATAAAACAATGAAAACCAGGCATGATTCTTACACTGGACTAGGAAATTAAAGGGTATTACAGACACTGCAGCTGCCAAGTTGCCCTTTCCCCTGAAACCCAGTTTGGGGATATCCTGGGAAAATTTTACACTAATTTGAGATAGCCAGCAGCAGACAGGGAGTCAATCCAGCAAGATCAGAAGGCTCTTCCCACTAAGTTGGTAATAATGTCCAAAGCGCCTGTGATAAGAAGCAGTTCCCAGGTGGGAAGGTGTCAAGTCATACACAGAGAACTATAAACCTTGCATACTCGTAAAAAAGATCAAAGGGGAAAGAGTTTATTTTCAAAGGTCTGTTTCCTCCACAAAGCTTGGTGTCAAAGGGAGGGAGAGGAGTAAAGGTAGAAAATTGAGGAAGGAGAGAAGAGGGATAATAGATTTTGTTTGCCAAATTAGCAGGGAATGGGGAATTCTTTCCACTTTAAGACGTGGCATATTCCAATGGATAACATTGTAGGATTCAGCCATTTATCTATGAAAAATTGAGTATAATTACAATATGCCTATAAAATGGACAATTAGAACAGTCAGATGAATTGAAAAGACATATTATTAATTGCAAAGCATGCAATTTGCCAGTAGTTATCTTTAAATTCAGGATACTGCTCATATTCTTGCAATCAGCCTTTTGAACTTCAGTGAGACTCCAGGTTGAAATAATTTAAAATTAATTAAGAGGTGGTTAATATTAGAACTATAACTAACTATGGAAGCAATGTATTCCACCTATGTGATGCTCAGTTGGATTTTGAATAAGCAGGATAATGCTTCGTAACTCTGATGTTGGAGAAGACCCCTGAAAATACCAAGGTCAGCCAAGAAAACAAACCTATGGATTACCAAACACACTGACCCATTGAGGCACAAATGACTAGGCTCAAATTATCCTACTTTAGACAGAATTATGCAAAGACCTAGCTCTCTGGATAAGACTCTAAAGCTTGGGAAAGGGGAGAAGAACAGAAGATGACCAGCAGCAAGCTGGAAGGACTCAGTTACAATGGCAATGAATGCCCCGTTGGAAGATCTGAAGAACCAGATTGCCCAGTTAGAAGATCTGAGGGACAGATTGTCATGGAGAAAATCTATGTGGTTTGCTAAGAGTCAAGACCAACTAATGAAACAATCAACAGAAGGCGAAATAGACCTATGGTGAAATGCTATTGTTCATGCACTCTTCTTCTGGACTCATATTCTTATAAAAGTTGGATTCAAATCTACATTCAGACATAAAGTTGGCTAGATACTTTGGGCCAGTGTTTAACTTACACTTAATTTTACAGGATAGTTGTTGCTGTAACAATGAGGGATGAAGGTCAAGTGGGTCACCTTAGGTTCCAAATAAATTTAATAAAATGTTCTTTAGGACTCAATGCCAATCAAGGTTTATTTCTCCGTAAAATGATTTTAAGACAGCAATGTTGGCATTATCACCAATGTAATTAAGTTCATGGAGACTTATGAGCCATGATGACACTATATGTGTGATGTCATATGCCTCATCCTACCTTGCAGACACTGCGATCATGCTACACAATTCATCTTTATATAGAAATATTATGTAGTAAGCTCCAGTAAAATTATTTTTGAAGCTATTTGTCCTGCTCTTGGGAGTCCAACAGTGACGTATCAAGATTGGCGATGAATTTTATGATACAGGGAGTCCTTTACTTATGACTGCAATTGAGCCTGGAATTGCAGTCATTTGTTAAGCAAGTCATCATGTAGCCGACCCAATTTTATCCCTTTTTTTTTGCTGTGGTCATTAAGTGAATTTATTGTTTGCTGTGTGTTTTGTGTTTGCCAGAAAATGCTGTTTTCTGGCAAAAACAGTCATAAATTGTGGCCATGTGATTGCAGGATGCTGTTAATGTAGATCAGCTGCCAAGCCCACAAAATGAAGTCATGGGGCTGCAGAGTGGTGGGGCGAAGGAAGAGATTGAGACTTTGAATCTGGTCATAAGTACTTGTTATGGGATCAGTTATAATTTTGAATGGTCTCTAAGCAACCGGTCATTAAGTGAGGACTGCCTGTACTCCATTCCAACTTTTTGCTTGTTACCTTGTGAACCTTGTGGTTTCCACTTCATAGAATTTGTTGGTTTCCCATATACCAGAACAATAAGAAGGAGCACAGGTTAAATTTTGAAACATCTGTAGGAAGTTATCACCCACCCCTCTCTTAGAAAAACGAAATATTCTAGGAAATATTAAAAAGGCAGAATATTTCCCCTAAAAAGAGTAGAAACTCAGAAGCAGAAGCTCACCTCAGAAGCAGAAACTCAGTCCCCCCACCTTTACTAATGGGCCATTACTCTGGCTTAGGCCAGCCTATTTTACATAACAAAGATCTCCAAGTAGAGCTATAGGAATTGCCCAAAGCCCTTTCATTACATCGTAGTCCAGCAAGGCTCAACCAACCCTGGGACTCAGGACAGCCTACAGAGTTGCCCCTGCATGGCCCCAATCAGAATACAAGGTCAAATTCAAATCCCATCAGAGGGTTTAAAACCCAGGCACTTTCAGCATCTCAGCCCTTCCTTCTTTGGAGCTCCAAGGCATGTGGTCCTGTTCACCATTAAACCAACTTTCCAAGCAGTCACCATGTTTCCAGTGTCTTTTTCCCCACTTGGAACTGAACCCAGAAGGATATTTCTTCCAGCACATCTTAAATGCCTGAGAGACAGGCAGGCCAAGTGTCTCTGCTGGCACAATTATATGATTAGTCTCTGGGTGGGAAAAAAAAAAAGTTACCCTTCTGAATTATCCAATCCTGGTTAATGAACTGAAATCTGCCGAAATTCTTTTCTGCCAACATTCCTTGTTTTTGGCTGTGGCTGAGATTCCAAGGAATACCCTGGAGAATTACATTATCGGTTTTCAATTCTGCAGAATTGGGCTCCAATCCATCACATTCATTTGCTACTGACATGTGCAGCTGTCATAGGATTGCTGATGGTTATCTTTTGAATTGTTCTCATCTAACATCTTCTCCTGAAGCTAAAAGAGAAAGTTAAGCAGAAAGTTTCTCCTCCAAACTTTCTCTTTCATATTTGAAGTCTGCTGAATTTACTTAGTGTCTTATTTCTTAATGGTGAGATTCACAAATAACAATAAACTCTGGCTTGTTACACAAGCCACAAGGACTGGGGACACACATTACTCAACCTATGTTTTACTTGGTTTTGACATCCCATACTAAGCATAACCCAGCTAATTGTGGTTTATTCCACACTCTATAATTAAGGCATGGCTTAGTACGGGGAACACAGTTTTAATACACTGCAGAGCTGGGGAACCTGTAATCAGAGATGAGGCTGACCTAAGATGGTTAATCACCACAAACAAAACAGCAAATAGCCATTCTGCTAGCTCAGTGCATGATGTACAATACCTAAAGCCAGTGAAGTTATTTTGATATATGGCAATTTCCCCCCAATTTCTAGCAATAAAAAATACAACAAAAATGAAGGCTGCTGATTGATTTTTCTTGGTACAATCACCTTCCTGATATTGTACCTCACTTAAAGTAAACTCTGTTGGCTCTGCTGTTTTTATGGCCAATGAGAATTGTGGAGCCCATCATTTGAAAGAGCTACTGCTTCCCTGTTATTTATTATTTCTTTTCCATTTTTTCATCCAGAGGATTCTCAAAGCAGCTCAACATGCTTTGAAGAAAGATCTAAGACTACCAATTAAAATGGGTATAAATTAATTCTGACTGAAAAAAAACTTAGTGAAAGAGGCAGCTATGACTCCTCCCCTTCCATTTAACAGCAGAAAGACCAAGAATTGATCCCACTGCCAAAGGGAGCAACCCAGGAGGAGATCCTCTGCTCTGTGCCTTGACAGACAAACTTTGGATCAGAGTTCCTCAACTTTCCCAGCTTTGCAGAATGATGGGGGGTCGGGGGGTGGTGGAGAGGATGGTTCTGTGAGAACAGCAGACAAGTGTGTCTGTGTGTGCAGCTCCATTTGTGTGAGCAGTGGGCACATGCACATACCACTTGCACAAGCGGAGCACACACACTCATTGCAGAATACTTTATGCCACTAGACTTGAAATTCTAGACTTAGAAAAACTAGAACTATGCCATTTTCGGTCCAATCTAAGTATAGTACATAAAATTATACATTGCAATCTCCTACTTGTCAATGAATACTTCAGCTTCAACCATAAAAATACAAGAGCACACAATAGGTACAAACTCAAGGTAAACCGCACCAAACTTGATTGCAGGAAATACAACTTCAGCAACCGAGTGGTCAATGTCTGGCATACTCTACCTGACTCTGTTGTTTATTCCCCAAACCCCAAAAACTTTAACCTTAGACTGTCTACTATTGACCTCACCCCTTTCCTAAGAGGTCTGTAGGGGGTGTGCATAAGGACAGGGATGGTAGCATCCCTGTCCTATTGTTTCTTTTTTATTTTTTTATATTTTTTATATGTATCCATGTATTCATAACTATGTTTATACTGATACCTGCTATCTTATAATTGCTTGATAAAATAAAAAAAAATAAAACAATAAAACATTCGCTCATGCAAGTGGGGATGCAAGGGTGGGATTCTACCAGTTCGCACCTATTAGAACCAGTTGTTAACATTCTAAGCAGTTCAGAGAACCAGCTGTTAGAAGAAATTACTGGCCTAATCCTGTAAGGAAGGCAGGAAGGAAACATTCTGGTGTTGCTTACAGAAACTGCCTCTCCGTTAACCTTTATTAGCCCTTGGCAGGACTAGACTTCCTGGAGTTTTTTCCCCCTCCTTTGCTGGTACTTTGCTTGTGTGGAGTGACCATTCAAAGTTACAACGGCACTGAAAAAAGTGACTTATGACCATTTTTTACATTTACGACCGTTGCAGCATCCACACAGTCATGAGAGGCCAGGCGAGGAGATGCGTGCCTTGATGTGAGTGATATTGACTTGGCCACACCCACCCACTTAGCCATGCCCACAGAACCGGTTGTTAAAAAATTTGAATCCCACCCCTGTGGGGTTGCACGCGCGCGCATGTTCACTCACCACTTCTGCAGCCTGGTTTTGAATGGTTCATGATCCAGTAGTGGCTTGCGGCCTGTGGGGGGTGAGGGGCCCTGCTTCAGATAGTGAGAACATCTTTCATAGGGCTTCTGCCCTTGATCCTAATGTCTGGAGAGGTTTGTGAAGGATGCAGCCAGGGGTGGGCTTCAAAAATTTCAGCAACAGGTTTTCTGCCTGGTTACTGGGTGGGTGTGGCCATGGTGAGCATGGCTTAGTTGCCTTGTGCACCACGGTGGGGGTGTTTTTGCCCTCCCTGAGCTCTGGAGGCTTTCCTCAAGCCTCTGGGAGGGTGAAAACGGCCTGCCCAGGCTCTGGAGGTCCTCTGGAGGCCGGAAACGGGCCCATTTCTGGCCTTCCGGAACTTCTAGGCGGCCTGTTTTTCACCCTCCCTGAGCCTCCATGGGAGCTCTGCACTTACCTCGCATCCAAAACAGGCCATGTGCAGACTCCTGGGAGGGGAGAGGTGGGGTGGGAGGGGCAAGGCAGGTGGGTGGGGCCAGCCAGGGATGGGATTTGGCAGTTCTCCAAACCAGCCAGAACGTTAGCTATGGGTGCAGCATTCCCTCAGAGGATCATTGGGGTGCTGAGGTTCAATACCAACATGGTAGATTGTTGCCAGGAGACATAGTCTGCATCAGAAGTGGTATTCAGCTCTGACCAGTTCTGGAGAACCGGTAGTGGAATTTTTGAGTAGTTCGGAGAACTGGCAAATACCACCTCTGACTGGAGATTTTACAGTATCCTTCCCCTGACCACTCACCAAGCCACAGCCACAGAACCGGTAGTAAAAAAAAATTTGAATCCCACTACTGGTCTGAATGTTGCACTTTACAGATTCAAGTCAATTTCTCATGTGTTGAGTTATAAATCCAGTTTCCCTAGCCATCTTCAATAAATCCCTATAGATCAGGGGTATCAAACTCGCCTTGTCACAGCGGCATCATATGATGTATTGGGACTTTCCCCCCACTTTCTAAACTGGGTGGGGGTTGGGCCAGCAGGTGACACATCAGACCTGTGGGCCGTGAGTTTGACACCCCTGCCGTAGAACTTTGAACACCTTTCAACTGTTCTACACCACTTAAAATGCCACGTTTTGTATCCTTTGAATTTTAAATTGAAAATTCAAGGTTTTTTTCCCCATGCCTTTCAGGTTACTTTTTCTAACTGAGAACTCTATTAAAAAGTCTGAAGAGACAGGACAACTTTAGTTGGATAAGTACATTCAGTGAGGTTGCACGAAATGCAGACCAAATCCCTCCATTCAGGATCCCTTTCAACCAACTTGGAAATGAATTATATCCCAATAGCCCTACTATCATAAGCTGCTTTCTTTTGAGACCTAGAACTTTCCAGTTCTGTTTTTCCCCCCACATTATCTTGGTAGCGGTACCACCACCCACTGTCCTGGGCAGCTGCTTCCCCCCTACCACGAACACACAGAAGTATCAGTGTTAACATTCGTATGGAAATGTGCTGAGGCAGGAAATAGGTAACATCTGTCCGGAATTCACAGCACCTGCTTCCTCACACAAAGTGTGCTGCTAACCAGGCTTGTCCTATAGGAAGGGACATTAGGCTGTGTAATGCTGTTGAATGCAGCCAGCAGCAACATTGGGTTTTGTCAATGGAGAGAAACAAACATTTGTCTGCTAACAATGCATGCTTGTTTTCATGTGCACTTCTGACCCTCCATTCACATCTCAAGCAAAATGTGTACATATAACTGTCCTTGCAGTAAATTGCCCAAGACATTATACATTACACACACACACACAGAGAGAGAGAGAGAGAGAGAGAGAGAGAGAGAGAGAGAGAGACAAATGCATCTCAATACAGCAAAATAAAAGACACGAAGGGCAACGTTCGGCTCTCATTCATTCCTCCTGGCATTGATCCAAAATACAGCCATTGATATTTTTAAGTCCTCCTTTCACCAAGGATTTAAAAACAAGGATTGGCTTATTTATTTCTTTTCATCAACTTTTAAAATTTTTAAAGAGAACGTAGGAACCCGTGTCTTTATGATGAAAGTCTACAGTGGAAATGAGTCACTGGCTGTTTTCAGCTGGCCTTCCTCTCTTGAAAGGAAGAGCTACTATGGAACTGAATCCCACACCGTGGTAAGGAATGGTTGGGTTTTTGCTATGGTTTATTTAATAGATTCACACATGCTGGGCAACGAAGCACAAAGATTGAGCGTGTACAACAGATGAAGCCATTGGTCAGGGTTCCACCAAATGATAAATAAATATATCTGGCGATCTCACTGGTGTTAACATCAGGCAAGAAAGAAATACAGGTAATCCTCGTTTTACGACCACAATGGAGCCCAACATTTCTGTTGCTAAGCGAGATTTTTATTAAGTGAACTATGCCTCATTTTATGACTTTTCTTGTCACTGCAGTTGCTTTGTTAGTAACACGGTTGTTAAGTATATCTGGATTCCCCATGGACTTTGCTTGTCAGAAGGTTACAAAAGGCGATCACATGACCCTGGGACTCTGCAATAATCATAAATATGAGTCAGTTGCCAAGCATTTGAATTTTGATCATGTGACCATAGGGATGATGCAAGTGTCATAAGTGTGAAAAGTGGTCATAAGTCACTTTTTGCTGTGCCATTGTAACTTCGAACGGTCAGTAAATGAACTTTTGTAAGTCGAGGGCTACCTGTACTGCAGTTGTTCAATGAATCATGCTATTGTTAAGCAAATTCAACTTCCCTCATTGACTTTGCTTGCTGGAACCAGTTGGGAACATCGCAAACGGCCATCCTGTGGCCCTGGGATGCCATAACCATCATACATACATGTTGGTTGACAAACACTGAAACTTTGATCATATGACCGTAAGGATGCTGTGATCATCGTAAGTGCGAGGGCCAGTCATAAGTCAGTGCTGCTATAAATCTGAATGGTCATTAGAAGAATGGTTGTACATTGAGGACTAGCTGTAGGGACTGTCATAAATTCTATATCACATCATATCAGAGACCCAGTATGATGCTGAGGTGCAATGCTCTATACTGGTTAAGCTGTGAAACTAGGAAAGAGGAGATCCAAGTTGTAGGTCAACCTCAACTATGAAAACTTCCTGGGGAATTTGGGGCCAATCATTCTCTCACAGCCCAATAGGGTTGTTGTTTCGGGAACAAAGAGCTGTGGTGGCGCAGTGGTTAGAATGCAGTACTGCAGGCTAATTCTTCTGATTGTCAGCAGTTGCATCCTCACCAGCTCAAGGTAGACTCAGCCTTCCATCCTTCTGAGGTGGGTAAAATGAGGACCCAGATTGTTGGGGGCAATAGGCTGACTCTGTAAACCGCTTAGAGAGGGCTATAAAAGCACTGTGAAACAGTATATAAGTCAAAGTGCTATTGCTATTAAATATAGGTAGTCCTTGACTTACAACAGTTCATTTAGTGACTATTCAAAGTTACAGTGGCAGTGAAAAAAGT